AAAACGTTTTACGACTAACAAATGTAGCTAACACAGAAAATATACCATATATTTTAGGCAGCCAGAATGTAGAAACTGTGTGTATCACGTGCATATTTATAAAGCTATAATCATCAGTTTACTTTAGAAAATTGAAATAGCTTCGTTTTACGATGAAATATACCCACACAGAAGATATGCCATATATTTTAGGCAGCCAGAATGTAGAAACTTTACGAATTCCAGAATTTTTGCTCGCCACTAGCAGGAAAAAAAAAAAAGATTCCTTAAAATGAAGAGGCAATAAGATTCAAACTAAATGTACTTGAAAAAATCAGCGTTTGTTCAATTTTGCTTCTTGAACTCAGTATACTGATTCAGGATACATACAATGTGGCTTGTATGCTGAAGGTTTTATAACATTAGTCAATGTTCTTTCATACCTACCAAAAACTGCTGAACTGGAATAAGCCGGGCTGTCTTGAGGAGTTGGTGTGCTAGCTGCTGTCTGAACTGTTCGTGAACAAGTCTCGCCACGTCCTTTATATATCGTGTGCATCAATCGTTGCGAAATTGATTACTATTGCACATGATATCCGGATAAGAATTTAGGGCTATGGCAAGTGTTTGTTTTTGATATAGCTTTCGTTAATTAACTACTTAAACAAACAAAGGAAATGACGTTTGAGTGGAAGCAAACAACTATAAACAGGTTTATCCTGGAAAGACAAGCATTGACAAACACACTAATCAATCTGTTGTCACTGAAATAGCTAAGAAACATTACACTATTCAATCCCCACAACGTACTGTTGAAAAGGAACCTATTGAACCTAATAGCATTAAAGACAAGTGTGCAAGTAGGCTCATAATCAAGAGGAACGATTTACTTTGTGAGCATGCATGCATCAATGTCGTCTTCATGAAGCTAGATAACGAATATTTCTGGAGAAGGACGGCAAAGAAGACAATTTGATGTCTGTTCAAAGAATGTTCGTGGTTCGAGAATTACAACTTCCATAATATCAAGTTGTACTTAATAGTGTCATCTCATTTACCAGTTCGGATGATATTCAACCCTTGATTTCCTTCATCCATAATATCAAGTTGTCTTTGTCATCTGATTTACAGGTTCGGATGATATTCAACCCTTGATTTCCTAGGCTTCATTTGAGATATTTTCACTCTGAGAGTACTGAATGCCAAATGGAACTGTCAGCGAAAAAAATAGTGTGAGGTATTCTTCTTTCCTTCATTTCATTATATTGAAGTTTGTTACCCTCAGCCAGATCTTAATTAATTCCCTGCACTAGTTCATTCTTTCTGTCTGGATTTCAATCAAGCCTTATTAAGTGATACTTTCCAGACAATTCTTATTTTACGCCTGATCGACAGTCTCAGTGAGAGTTGATTGTATAACACTATGTACTAGTCGGCACACCGTTAAAGTACACGGAAAATAGATAGAATTTTGAATTTTCTGATAGGAAAATTTATTTCAATTTGAAAAAAAATGTGCCAGTCAGTTGGTTTGAAGGGAAACTATCAAGGGTGCAATTTGTCTAAGCACGATTTATGATGTACTTCCGGCGATATCTTCATGCATTCAAGCATGATTCAATTTAAGTGAAAAGCTTGTTTGTTGTAATTGATAACTTTACTATTACTGTATGCAGTACTTGAACAAGATTACCGTAATTTTATCCACTTTTACTAATCAGCCTATATCTGCAATTGTATATTTTCATTTGAACAACCCATTAAACCCTGTCGGGAACATTTACAGATTTCTTCATATGGTCATTTGCTAGAATGTCTTGGTTAGAGGGGATAATTTGATCATAGTACCAGTAATATAGTAGCACGCAATGTTAAATTTACCATCATCGATAGATCAAGCTGATCCGGCATAGTACAAGTATTAGTAGTGGCTCTCGTGCTGGTAATATTATTTTTTTCCATCTTGCAGACTCCATAAAACTTGCCTTTGAAAATAAAAGAAATCAAAGTAATATACTTCAAGATTTTTCCTCATGATATGTTTATGGTATATTTATGGTTCACTCAAATCATTTAACTTCACTTCCTAGTGTTTTTWAAAAAATAAAGTCTACATGTTTTCAAGTACATGTTGAGCATTCACAGGTTCAAATTGCCTTTGTGATTAATTGTAGGGCGTCGCCTGAAGTTTTGAAGTCTCGATGGCTTGATTGACTAAATATCGAGTTTTTCATTAGAGACCATTCAAGCTTTTCCTAAAATAATACGATAATACTTGGCATCCTGATTAAGAATAAACTTACAAAAAGCTTTCAGTAAAATTACCACCTCTTTGTCTAGTGGTCGGCGGTGACACTTATGTAGCAGGTGTAGCGTGCTATCACATAACCAACAACGCCGGCTTCATCCGTTAAGACTCCTATGGTACATGGTTGAGTCGTGTATATGTCATGTATAGCTAGCATGTAGTCTAGAAACCAGGCTTGGATTGGATAGTAAAACATTTAGGGGATTGATGACAGATTCTTTGATTTCTAATTTCCGTAGCGGTAGTCTACCGATTGTCTTTCCATTTTTAACATTTCTAAAATATTAAAGCGCATTTCAAAAATCAAAAAACCAAACGAACGCAAGAATGAACAACGAGAACAAACAAATAAGAAAAACTGTGGAGAATAAATGAAAAAAAATGTGTCTCTTTCGGCAGAAGATAGCAAATTAATGTTCATTTTTGCATGATAACTCCATGGATTGATATTTGAACTGCATGAGGCTCATATAGCTCTCCTTTCAACATACAAAAGGTTGTATCAACTATAAATACTAAACTAAGCTGCACAGCCAGCTACCAATTCTGACTGCCAGCGGCCATATTCCATAAATATTTTGTGTATCTGTCAATAAATGTGGTTGTATTGGTTTGAAGTCAAATCAGTTAATAAAGTAATGAGTGATGAGTAATCTAGTTACTCTAGGAACAATCATCTTGGTCCTTCTTGGCTATACCTCGCAGCATAGTTAACTATGCTCGCAGGCTAGGGGGAGAAAAAAACCCATTAAAGGTACTCAAACTCTACGGCCCCGACATAAAGCAAAACGAGACTGAAAAACCTTCGCAAGCAGGATATAGTTCAGCTAACAAGAGAAGCATTATTGGATGTACTTCTTCTTTTTCATTTCTCTTTTCTTCGATATTGTATATATAGGKAGTCGTGTACATCTGGTATGGCCAACCATGCCAACAGATGGGAGGGTAGGGGCCAGACTGAGAGTGATCCCACTGGTCCTCCAGGTTGGGGGTTAGGCTGAGGGCTGATAACCCGCCCGCTACTACGAAAAAAAGGTATATTACAGAAACCAGAAGCATGGAGGAAATTCAAGAGCTCTGTGAAGGTCCTATATGTGACATTTAGATTGTATAGTTTCGCTCTGAGTCCTTTAGGGACCATATGTGTTTACTAAGCTCCGTTGCGTTTCTTTCCTTTGGGTCTCTAAAAGGCGCTGTGTGGTCATTCGTTACCCGTTAGGCCAATATATGCCTGAGTGTCTCCGTCTCCATCTCAGAGATAAACTATACAATCTCTTGGAAGATCATGGCACGCGCCCCAACGTATTCATGCGCAACAAAGCGTTGCAATCTTTGTTTGTTTGATCAGAATGATTCCCGGGGTGGGGGATACCGGGGTAAGAGTATCGGGTATCACCAGGGCTCGTCGGAAATTTTCAGTACCCATGAAAAAAATACCGAGCGTCATTTAAAAAGGTCGAGGCTGGACGATTTCACACCCTCAAGCGGATACATGACAAAAATGTCTGTTGAAATGTTTGCTTGGGTATTATTCCAAGTGAGTTTATAATACAAAAAGCAAAAAGCTTTTCCTTTAAAATATATCAATTCAAGAAAATTTCAATTTGAACACCCTAAAATATACCAAATTTCATATTTCCTAAGAAAAAAATGACCATACTTACGCGATTCCCCCCTCCCCCCCGGTATCTCCCTCCCCCTGCCCCCGCTCATTGGTTAAGCGTGACTAGTCTCGCATCTCGGGTTTATGACTTTGATCCCCACTGGTTATATTAAAAAAATAACAGTTACAAACGAGTATAACTGAGCCAAAGGCTTGGATTTTACGGTTTAATTTAGCCTGGCCTATATATGGCTCCATCGGTTCGGTGCTTAGTAACAAAGGAATTATGACCTTCGCGATTCTTATTGTCTCATGGTAATTCATTAACGTCAAAAAAACTATTATGCAAATCAGGAAATGCTGATGATATCGGGCAAGCTTTCGTTGTTGTGCGTTTAGACTCTAGCCCTTGCTTCTCTCAAGTTTACAAGACATCGATATTACCGAAGGTAAGTTAATCAATATACCTGTTATAATATGTTTTCAATATGTTTGTTATTTGTAATAATTCCGTTTGAATCAGCGTTTATTATACCCCAGGTAGTGAGCCAAGTCGATTTTGATTGACGAAGCAGTAGTGATCTTTTTCCTTCTCCACTCCAATCAAGATACAGTTTTCCTTTTATGAAAGTCGAAGGCTAGCATTGATAAAACCATTTAAGATAAATTATTTGGAACTCGCTAGTAATGACTATTTATTACAGTGAAATTACGGCTTTACAAAGCGAGTAAAGACACGGCACTTTCGAGTGCAAATAACGTCAACATGAAATATGAACACAGAAGAGACTTGACCAGATAAAATGTTCAAAGACTAGTCTGTGATTCAAAATATAATCCACACAACGAAACGCGACAAACAGAAATCTCTTTGTTTCCTTTACAAATATTCTGCCAATTTACTTGACACAAAAGTTTTGAAAAGCTTTCTTTGGTTTATCATGTGTCTGCCTGTTCTATGGCACTATGGAATGAGGATGGAATGACGAAATATTTATTTTAATAAAGTTAGTCGCCTGAAAAGCTACAAAGCTACAAGGATTATGGGTAGATACATTTTACATGTTTCAACCGCTTGATAACTGTTGATAGACTTGCACATCTTTAACCAGTTACAGTCTCATCTCTTTTTAGCATCCATAAGCTGCACTTTGTATCAAAAAAGCTTTACTTTTTTTTAATATGAAAAGTTTCCCATGATCGTCAGTGATCACAGCATCTAGGTCTAGGCAGCATCTAGGTCTTTGGTGACTAATTTTATTAAAAGTCCACGGGAATGCTAGTGAGCTCCCACGCAATACCTTGCAAAATTTCTCATTTTATGCAATAAACCCACAATTAAACTCTGCTTTCCCGATTTTTGAGCAAGGGATGTCGAATATACATAACATAACCTGTTTTATATTACACACCGTTATTGTTATTTGCTTTCACCAACGAGWTTCGCGAATGCTATAGGCATCTTGAGAGTATTTTTGGCAAATTGGTAATTGCGGGTATTTGCTTGAACAACTCGCATTTATCAAGCACAAGCAGTTTAGTTTTTATTATGGTGATCTTTCGTTTTACAACCAGTTATTGCACACCAAATGAGTTCTTATCTGAACAAATGCACTCGCGAAATATATACTAAAACTGAAATGAGTAAAAACCAAATATTGGTCGTAATTTTGCAGGCCCTTTTGCCTTCGATGTAAGCTTTTTTCTCGGCCATCTGACTCATCAAACTCTATTGACTCGATTCGATTTGCTTCAAACCTCCATTGACAAAGATGTTATCATCAGTGAAATACTTATGTAATAAAGTTCTCTAAACTGTTTCAGATTGAGTCCTCGCATATTTTGTTTTTACGATACCCTCATCGACACGTGCCCTCCCGTGCCCCCCATCCATACGCTAGTGATGTTTGGCATCATGGTGTCATTAGTTACAAATTCTCTCTATTAATTTCTCCTTAGATGCACGAGTGCATGGATGTTCCAAAATAACCATCATGCTACGTCGAAATAAAGGCAAAGTAGTCATCAATACGCCACCTACAATAAAACTACCGACGGCAACAGAAGACGCTAAACGATTGAGCCAAGCAAATGAAGTACTAAGGCCAATATTGCTACTTTCACTTCTAGTTGGATATGTGCCTAGAAACGGTCGAGTCAGAGGGATCTTTGGTGGTCTTTTGTGGCTGATAAGTCTTGTACTCAATGTTGCCTTTGACGTTCTATCAGCGCGCAAGCATTACGGCTATGCATGGGCATCCATTCAGATTATTCTCTTCATTAGCCTCGCAATGTGTACCTACTCTTCCAAGAGAAGTGCTTTACCATGCCTTGAACAAGGCCTCGCTCAGCTGGAGAAAGAGGACAAATATTTCAAGACGTTTGCTAGGATAAGGAAGCTATTTAGGGTAATGAATAATGCGGAATATTAAATGCTCAAACTCTTTCAACGACTGATTTCAGAGATGCTAATAGCAATTCCTCGTCTCTTCCCTGTCTGTTCTAACTTGATTAAGAAGTATTTGTTTATAATGCTCTAGGTTTTTTTTTTCTACAGATCATTCCTTGGGTGATAATCTGGTTTTCACTTTTTTCGACTAGCCTACTATATTTCTGCTTTCATTATGATGATGCCTTTAGTGTAACATTTGAGCAACAATTGTCAAGAAGATGGCATATCGTATTTCGTGTTGTTTGGTTCATAACCAACGCCCATACGTTATATGGATTCGCACTGTTTTGGTGTATTGGGATGTGTAATATGTATGCTCTTGGTTACTCTATGACCGAATATCACGGTAAGTTCATTTGTTTTACTGTTAGACAAACACTATGAGTAGGATACCGGTCGGTGTACTATTCTTGTTTCTCAATTCATGCTCCTCAATTCATGCTCATTGTTATTCATGTAATAAATAGAGGATATTACATGGGCGTGCGGAGATACGAAATTTATCTTCGAGTGTTGAAAAGATCTCTCAAGGGTGAGCGCAGCGACTGACGATAAATTTTAAAAGGGGGTTCCAAAATGGCTGCCACGCAGGAAAAGCCACTGGTAAGATTGGCTTCAAATAAAGGGATCTCATGAAGGGGGTTTCCATGGAACCACTCCTGGATCCGCCACTGTGGTGGGTGGAAGGGTTGGATGATATCCATTTTAAACTCTATAGAAATGTAACATAAAGAAGAGTGAAGAGAGATGAGTGCTCTCGCACTTCTTGTGACATTTCCTAAGTATCGTATTTCTGAGTTACATTAACTTTTTTCCAAAGAAATGATGACAGCGCATTTAAAAAATAAGGAATCTCCCATTACATTTCGACAAGCCGTTCACTCTTTCGCCGAGCGTGGAAACTTTCTCAGGAAATCTTCATCTTCATGTAGGGTAGGTATTAATGCTCGTGTTGTGAATATATATTGTCAAGTTATGGCCAGCTGGTGATGGGGGTGGGTGAATGAAGATCTTGAGTACAGCATGCCAAATCTTGCAATCGTATATTCAAATTCAAATGTAGAGTACAAACACTATAAGTGTGTAATATAAATACCACTAAATACTGCTAAATTATGCTAATCCTATTGTTTTCTATTGTTTAATTAGCACTATTTACTGCCAAATAGTGCAAAGTGTTGCACACTTTTAGTGTTTATACTTTATGATTTTTCCGATGTTCCTTTTTGTCAGTTTGTGGCATCACAAAACCGGCCAGTCTGTGTGTCATACAGAATGTTTATCTACATTGTCTTGCTTTCAGGTGTCATTGGCATTTCTGTTGGTATACAGCATTGCTTCCCTTGCTGTTAATGCGTTCTACTACTTGTACAAGACAAGAAGAGCTGGTTATGTTTTCTTTGCGCTCGTACCCCTGATATGTTCTGTCTATCCTTTATGCTTGGCAGCATGGGTCACCAAACAATATAAATGGTATGTCTTATACTGAAACTCTCATCACTCATCTACAAGCCCTGCATGTCATTTAGATCAAGGACCAAAAAAATGAGCATCACATTTCTCATTTCCACCAGCCCCCCTCCCTGTAAATAATGACCGGTCCCTAATGTGTTTAAACCATAATGTTAGGTATCTTGCAGTAGTCGTGAAAGCCTGGGCTGAATGTCCAGAAAGTACAGATGAAGAGGAAGAAAGCGGATCAGATCACGGTCATCCAGTCAAAGACAAGCACAAATCTTTCGCACGCAAGTTTACCAAACGAGTGAAAAGTACCAGAAACAAAGAGCATGATAAAGGAGACATGAAGACAAACCGTCGAAGAAGCTTGTTTACACTACGTGGCCACACTCGGTCAAATCCAATATCGACAGGCTCGTACTCTGACACGGAGAATCAGGCTGACAAAGTTATAAAGACTAAACAGCTGTCAACTCCGCTGCGAAAAATTCGATCAAAGCCTATTTCAGGTAGCACGTACTCAGAGCATCAAGATGGCGGCGCCAATCATTCAAAAGCAGTGATAACATACACATCTCTTAGTAGTAACAATGAAAACATTACAGGTGAATGTCACGAGCAAGGCTTGTCCAATAATCAGAACTGTAAGTCAATGGATTCATTAGCACCATTACCAGTGTCAAGACAATCCATTAGTGAGGACGAAGTAGCGACTGATAATGAAGGAAAGCAAAACCATCGTGATGACGATGATAACAACTTGAAATCCAAAGCTTCACGCCAGAGAGTAATGGAATTGATTCTACGAGGAACAGCTAGAGCAGTGGGAAGACTCCAACACAGAGTAAAAATGCCAAAGTTTAACTTTGAGAAATATATATCGTACTTACAGAACGTTATTCCTACAATAGGCTACAAGATTATGGGTATCATAGTGACATGGAATATGGTGTCTACTTTGTTATTTTTAGAAGTTTCTTTGCTGGCGCTATTCGTACAAGAGTCTATTTTTGGGAGTCAGAATGCTCAAGTATCACTATAGTTGGATGATATCATGCAAAAGGCATCAAGGCGATAGCTTTTGACTGCTGTTATATTTTAGGATCCCGCATAACTATAGTTTATAGGGCGAAACTTTATAAAACAAATTGCATTGTACTTTGTTGTTGATTATTTGCTGTTAGCTGTGCTTAGGACAGACCTGACCTAAGGCGGTATACAGATATTTGTAGCAGAAACATTGTTCTTTCGATTTTCCAAAAAGAGAATAATACTAATTAGATCAACAATTCATAAGTGTGTAGTATCTTGTTTTTCTGTGTGATTGCTTCACAGTTCCTGAATACGTTCGTATATACTGTTGTTATTGCCTTCTCTTAGGGTACTCAAGAGCAGTATCCATCGAATTGCTGCAAAATGTGAAAACAACTCCAGGAGGCTAGTTTTGTTCTTGAAAATTCTTAGACAAAGATTTTTTAAATTGGCTGCCATTTTTCCGATTTTAAGAGCGTATGTCTGTAAGCGTCGAGAATCTTAAATCAGTTTCAAAAAATCGAATTTCTTTTTATTGTACCAAAACAACCCTTTGGGTAAGTTGTTTTAGGAAATAATATCAAAATGTCCCAGCGCGCTTTTATTTTTGAGAAAATTGCAAAAGTTTGAAAAATCGATTAAAAKGGGTAATTTTCCTAATTAATATGCAAAAATCGATGGCCATCTTTAAAGAGCTCTCAATAGATCAAAAAGAATCCAAATGAATTCATATTTCCCAGGTAGTTAGATCAACTCTATATCTTTAAGAATGGTTCAAGAATTTGT